ACCGACCGAAAATTGACTTCCGTTCTTGAACGTTCAAGTGGGGTTACATGGCGATATGATTGTTATGAAGTGGTATAGAAAGCCGAGCAATAAGAATATCATTATCCATTATCACTCAGCTCATCCTTTTTATGTAAAACGAGCGGTTGTTAGGAATATGTTTCGCACTGCTAAGAAGATCTGCACTGGAGAGGATGAGCGAAAAGAGTCGGTTAAAGTGGCACGCGATATAGTGGTCGAATGGCTACTACAATTTTCCAACTACACGTAAAGCTTCTGGTGGTGTGATCCTCAGACATGGTAGTGCCTCGATTGAAGGAAAGACTCCTTTTGTACTACCATTCATTTCTGATGAGGTCAGTACCTCCATCAGAAAGTGTCTAAAGGGATGGGGTTTGGAAAATTTAATTCTATTGTAAATGTACCACCCTTTAATCTAAAAAAGCGCCTGATTCGGAACAGGCTATACGATCGCCTACGTAAAACCTCAAACTGTGTGGCCTGTCCAGCTGGAAGGGAAGGTGATTGTAACATGTCTGGGGTGTCTACAGAATTACTTGCCGTCATTGTGGTGATGAGTAGATTGGCGAGACGGCAACACCACTCCACGTGAGGGTTAAGGAGCACATAGATGGTATGAGAAGATTAAAAAAGTCTACTGCCTCAGGGAGTCACCGAATTCGAAAGCGTAACGGAGGGGTTTTTGAGGTTACCGTGGAGGTCGTAGCACAGGATTATGCGCACGCAAAACTCTCGAGGCATTTTGGATACAAGTCACTGATCCAAAAATGTATCGTAGGGAAGAATGTCTCGCAATCACGCGGGAGCTGCGGCCTTATATGGGATTGGCCTTCCCGCAGTGACGTTCAATGAGGATTTACCCCAGCTGACACTGGTCGGTTAGTGCCATCACTTGCTGGGTGGTTTCGCAGATTCCACGAAGCTACGGTGAGTGCCCCTCCTTTCGATCACTTGCGTGCCCTGGGGGTCTCAAACTTAGGTGAGTTGGTGGAGACGTTTGGTCGGATATTCACAGATTATTATGATCCTTTTGGGCTCTGAAGAAGGCGATACCGCCGAAACGTCAGTCTAATAAAGCTTGTTTACAAACCTCGTGAAGAGTTCAGAAAAACAATAAACTCAACAATACAGTTATGCCGAGGTTCATAGAAAGCAGTACTTGGAACTTATCACTTCATCACTTCGCGCTTCGTCCTCCTTCGCACTATTCTCCATTTTCTCCTTCAATTTTCGCCTCAATCTGGATAACACAAAATTATCGTGAACTGTGCCTTTAGTGCAGACGCCTCAACAGATCCAACTCTACATCATTCTCGGAAACAACATCTTCTAGTGTGAATCAGAGCTGATGTCTCAAATTGCTAGACTAGATGCGATGGCGTGATTACAAGCTATAGATTGAAAATCGCAGATAGTAAGGAATTTTTGGGAACTTTAGCAGATTTTGCCGAGTGTCGGAATCGTGCTCTTGGCATCGGGTCACCCCGCCCACTTCGCGCACGGTGCACCCCAACGAGGTCTCGAGATGACCTAACAGTACCACCAAGTGTCCGTGGAGCGAATGAATTGCAAATAAAACAACAATCAAACCATTACTGTCCAACTCATTCAAAGAATTGTACGGACTGCGCAATGTCCATACAGCGTCCAAAGGCCAGATGGTATGATATCGAGTTTTTTTGACTACCAAAATGATATCATACCAACATTTACCGACTGAACGAACTCTCGATGTGAAGGATGCAAAAACAGCCGAACTGATGAAAAAACTACGTGNGCGGCAGACGGTCGGTCGAAGGGATGAAAACAAAGAAGAACAAGATCAAAAACCAAACAACCAGGGGCTGGTACAAATGGTTTTTGATTTGTCTCTCCTTGTTTACAGCCCTTCGAGGGGCTGACCGACCGTCTGCCGCCCTCCTCCCCCCTAGCACTGCCTCGTGGCACGCCGCCAGGCCTGCCGGCGGACTATGAAAGCAGCCAATCAGTGATATCACAGTGAATAAGATGGATCTGCCAGGACAAGACGGCCCAGAACGATCAAGTGACCGAAGTCGACGTCTCTCACAAGTAATTAATGCACTGTATTCACTGCAACGTTGAACGGGAGTCCAGCTGGTCACTGCGTATCTCGTGTCAGTAACGAGCGAACACATTATAAAAGAGACGCATCCAAACTAAGAAAACTTTAATGACAGTATTATTACATTATTATGGATAGCACCGGAAGATATTGATGGCACGAGATTATAAAGGTCAAGTAAAAAGCAGCAGTACGCGACAAATTACACATGAGCTCGGTGAACTCTCCACCTAAAGAAATTATGTTCGATCATACCTCGGTGCTTCATCAACTAATACTTAAACATCTACGACATTCTCCTAGTATGTATATAAAACATGGCCAATATTCCTCTATATTGAGCTCTAATGTTGGAAGAACGTTGGGCGAACTTGAATATAAATGTAATTTCTTTAGGCAATGTAATGAGTGTACGTCAGAGTTGAAACAGATTGAGTCTTATCAAACAACTTACACCGAATAACAACTAATAAATTCAAAACTACTCGTATAACTATGCGGTACAATTCCTACACAACTTTTCCAACCTTCGAGTTTTATCTCTCATTCCACTGCTGGGCTTCATATTCATCCTGTTCACTATCCTCCTCGGAGTCTGATTCATGAGGTGTGGTCGGACCTGAGACAGATGGTGTACCTGGCGCAGATATTGGGCGCGGAACCATCGCCATTGCATCAGATAAACGCATCTGAAAATTCGCCATAGGCACTATTCTGTGTTTTCGCTGTAGTTTCCACTACTGTCCAGTAATAATTATTATAAAAGGAGTCGTGACGTTCATATAGAAAAATGAAAACCCAAACGCCCCTCAATGTGTGCATATAAACGGGTATATGAGTGTTTACATAGGTGTGTACGCGTGTAGGTATGGCAACAGATGTGTGTACGTGCAATACATTAGATAACGAAGATAAGTTGATGAGAAATATACCACGTTTTGTAGAACATTATCCAAAAAACGGGAAATACTTATTCCACTTCTCTTGATGACCCTCTCCAGGTTTAAAGATTAAAGACAGTGTAATCATTCGAAAACATTACTATTACATATTTCCCCCTAGAGAACATCTCTGGAGGAGGAACATATATGAAATATACTGAAGTAAATTAGAACTGCAAAGCTTCCCCGGGTAATTCGCCGAGTCTCACAGACCACACGGAGGAAACTGATACGCAAAAATAATGCTAGTTGGAAATAATCAAATTAATTTCAAGTAACTATGCTGACCTCGAGATCCGGGTGCGTCTTTTTCAGCGCCATTCTCCTCGCATCTCGATAGAACTAAACAATAACTTGAGGATATGCAAGGGAAGAAATAAATACAAAGTTCGAGGATAATCTAAAAACTTAGTGAATTCAAATAAGGGTGAAATATAAGTGTTAATGAGTATAATTCGGGAATATATCACAAAAAAAGTAAACAAGAGTTATTATCACTACAACTTGTACCACATCCTATTGTTTTCATGCATATAGAAAAATGCTTGAAAGAGATGGGTATATATGCCCCAAATCATCTTCATGGGAAAATGATTCACTTGAACGCTTATATTTCACCCCAGCCATTTTCTTCAATCACTGTATCCAACAAGCAAATGGTATCCTGCTGAGAAACTGCTCGAAACTGGTGCTTAATGGGTTGGGGGGGGGGGGGGGGGG